GCCCAAGGCCACCCAGGCTGGCTCTTCTCCCAGGAGGCTCCATGGGGGAAATCGAACTCCCAACCTCTCCAGTCAGAGACCTAAACCATTGAGCCATCCGGTTAGCTAATTCTGACATATGGTTATCCTTTTCAGAGTTTTCCAGGTAGAGAGTACTCAGAGGTGTGTTACCATCCCCTTCCTCTAGGGGGCAACCTTGGGACTGTGCAGCTTGCCCAAGGCCACCCAGGCTGGCTCTTCCCAAGAGGCACAGAGGGGGAATCGAACTCCCAACTTCTGGCTCCACAGCCTGATACCGAAACCACTCAAAAAGCAGTAAAGGGACAAATTGTGGCACAAATCTGTTCCAGCGCCACCTTTCCATCTATATTCTTGATCAGGTCCCCCCCCCCCCGTTTCTTCAATGGGAAAGCGGGTTGCTTCATATTATTTATTTATTTTTATTTATTTATTGCACTTATATGCTGCCCATCTAGACATTGTCTACTCTGGTTTCAGAAAGGTGTGAAAAACAAAGTGTGCCGTTCGTTTGCCTCTTAGCTCTGTCACATCCCCAACGCCAACCCGTTCTCTGCCATTTCTTGAAAACTAAATCTCCTCTAGTCGGTGCTGTAAAAGAAAACCAGAATCTCCTCTGATCACTTCCTCCTTATCCCCCAGCCCATCATGTCCCCACAACAGAAAAGTACCACCTGGAATTTAAACAGATGTTGACATTATTTCCGTCCCCGGGGTCTGCCTGAAATGTGAGCAGGCCTTCTGCTCCTCAATGGGTTTATATAAAAAAAGGCTAGTGCGGAAGGAATATTTTATTCTAATGGCTGACAGGACCAAACTCCCAGAGCACTGCATGGCACAGACGGCAATCATCCGGTGTTTCAAAGTGATCCCGAAGAGTACAAGAAAAACTAACATGTTTTGCTTAAAAGCAAAGCTGAGACCTTGTATAATGCTGGTGGAGGAAGATGCTTTTTGCTAACGTATTCACACGAGATTCCAGGCCACAGAGGAGATGAAGGAGGAGATAGAGATATTTGTAAATGGGCCGTTGCAAAAGAGGCCGAGGCTTAACTGAGATTTGCATCTGTGCGATTTTTACAAAACATTTCTCTTCGAGATCCTAGCAAAGAAATCCTTATAGATCCACTTCCCTGCTACAGCTTGGCCTCTTGAGTCCACCTCTGTCTTCCGCCACCACCCTGCCAATTTTTAAGTGCTAAATTAAGTAAGAATAAGACAAAAGACAGGTTCATTGGTAAATGAAGGCTCTTATGACATTCGGAAAAATTCTTCAGAAATGAACTGGAATCAAATTTCCCCACATTTGCACTGATCAGGTTTGACAAACGCTGTTCTTCCCGGTCAGAAGAACAGCCTGCTGCATCTTCTTCCTGAGTAATCGTTAAAGATTAGGAGTCTAGTCTAAATAACTAAGTAAATAAAACTTTTTAAGACTTGACCATCCTAGTTTAGCAGTGATGGGGTTGAAATCAATGGGACTGAAAGCCTGATTTTTAGG